GAACTAGATTTGTAAGCTATAACTATATAAAGGTACAGACTATAAAATTGCACTATTGTAATAAATATTTCAAACTTTACGGCTGTGAACTTTTATTTACTTGGGCTTTTGTTTACAGTATACATTTAATAGAAATTGCCATTGGCATTGTGATCGACTGATTGAGCTTTCAGCTAAAGAAGTTATTAATACAAAATCAATTATATGACTTTCTAATAATTTCTCTGTTACTGTTTTATGCTAACTGAGCAACTGATAGCATTTTATTATTCTCCATGTAATATCGAATGACATATTCGAAATATTCGCACGGTTAACTTGTCATGTTATTTACTCATAATTTTTCGCGCATTTTGCATGTCATCGAACATCTACAAATGTATTATTATTTGCCAATGGCGTTCAATTCAACTCTTCATCACAAAGTAAGGTTTTACCACTGAGCTATACTATATTACTGGAGGACCTGCTCGGCATCATCAAGTGAAGCCGAAAACATGGCGGCTATTACGCCATTTCCATGACAACACTTACTTTATTTTCATGGTAATTGCCACTGACCAACCGCGATCCTAAGCTTTCGAAGATGTCCTTAACCCCCCTGGTTTTTGCATAGATATATTATTATATCAATAAGATATTTCAAGTTTTCTGTTGTTTTTGAGCAAAAATCTTAATATTTCCCTCGAACATTACTTGTTTTACAACGCGGAGCGAGGGTGCAGGTTTGCTTCGCTTGTGGATGCAGCATTTCACTACAAAGAAAGATTAATTCTTTCAGGTAAGATTCACGAAACTTTTTTTATAACTTTCTAGACGGCTAGAGTCACTAGACCTTCATATTATGTCAAAAACTCATCATCTTAATATATGCTGCAAATATTTCAATAGGGGACATAAAATATTGTTAACATTATGTTCAGTTTGTGTCAGCACTGGCCTTTGTGGTTTGCCAGTTTTTAATTTATACTAAAAATTGTGGTTGTTTACTTGTTTACATGCTCATATACAGAGGTTCATATATTTTAAACGAATATATATGGTGTGAAATTTTATATACTTGCCCATCACAGTGCAGAATTAGTATATATAGATAAGCACAAGACCAGAGAGAGTTGAGCCATAGAGGATGGCCACCTACATGTGACAATGCATGTGCCCTGTCCTGATGAGCCCTAAAGACTGTCTTTATTTTTTTACTCTGTCTAATGCCAAACGATTTTAAGGGGATTGAGACAACCTCGTTCCCAGGCTCTTTGCTCTTGGGAAGCAAAGACCCTGGTCGGAGCTGGTCACGTGAACCCCCAGATTTTGGGGGTAAATTGAATTTGATCTCAGGGAGGGGTAGGAGAGTAGTCTGTTTGTTGCGTTTGGAAAATTGCAACTTTATGTGTTATAATTTCGGGTGATAAAAATGTAATTTGCAACAAGAGATTGTGAAAGGAACTGTTCTAAATTCGTACCGATCATGACAAGACTTCCTGCTATACTGAATGTCATCAATAATAAGTGTTGCGTTACATTTCAAGCGAGAAGCTGGATCATATTTCACTTGCAAGGAAAACACTCCACACGCGCCTGGCCTGCGAAGTTTAGCACATATCGCCGTAGAAACATACATATCTTCTACACAGACTGATCGATCAAACGGTATTAAACGAACGATATGGTTCTTTATAGTTGAAGTGTATCCTGTCCGATATTCAAAACAAAAGATTTATTTTATAACGGGATCCTTTGTCTTTGATTTCCCAAACATCGCCAACATGTGTAAACAATAGTGCTATTCTGACTGTAAAAGCACAGGATTAAAACCCGTTATGGACTGGCTATAAAATTCATTTCATTTACATTGCTAAACTCAACGATCAAGAAAGATAATGTCGAAGTGTAGCTAGCTATCTGTTATCACACAAACGCCAAGACTCCGTACATGCGTTTCCGTGCGTGCGGTACAACTTGAATATCTAGGACGATATATGCACCAGACACTGGTATTGTACTTTATATAAATTATTTCATATTTTGTATATACAGTAATTTGCAACATGTATAATATTAGACCTTTCATTGACATCGGCATTGTCCATTGAGGGCTTTATTGAAGAATAATCCAGCTTCTTTAGACTTGTATAATGGATTAATGCCGCTGTGAGTTATCAATATTTAAATCAACTTTAATCTTTATCGTATACTGGAATCGACATTTTAGAAGTTTAGTCTGTTTTACCAAACAATACTGGAGGCAAACAACCTATCTATCAATGGAAACTTTAAAAGGTTTGCTACAGTAAAACTCATTAATATAAGCGAGACTTCGTGTGCATATACAATTTATGAATTATGTATGTCCCTGATAAAACGTAGGACACGTTATACCAGATATAATAAAAAATACTTTGCTAAACCTTTTCGGCTGTCATTCCTTTGCATTTAAGGGGAGAGGGTAAATGGCGATAGAATTTATAGGAGATGCTGTGCAATATTTTGGCTTCAACAAACAGGTACTCGTGCAGACAAAAAAGGAAATTCTTGCAGTTATGAATTGTCGTATGTCAGCTGTGCACTGTCGATTTCAAACAATTTTGTACGTTATATTTTGTCTTCCTGGTGTTTAATATAAACGATGATAGCCATTTAAAAAAAAAATCTAGAGCAATATGTCTATAAACAGTTTTAGAATCAATAGAATGGACATTCACAATGTGTCTTTGGCTTGTGTCCAAATGTGTCACGTTTAAGACCGGCAAGGCGCTAATCCTACGACCTATAAACAGTCGCTTTCGAGACATCTGTTTAACAAAATTTATACCATGTCCATATCAGAACAATTCATTGGCATATTATAAGCATATTATAAATATCAGAGCCACAACAGAAACTATGCGTGAAATAAAACTACGCCCGAACCGGCGAACCCCGAGAAAATAAAAATATTTCAAAGGCGTACAGTCATATGTTCTCGTTGCTTGATTTCCTGAATTTTCTGTTGCCATAAGAATCTGCATTTTAGCATGTTTGTATAATTTAAAAGCAAACAGAAACCAATTTAGCAAGTAATTTGAGATATATATGATTATTGAAGATGAATTAATGATTGTACAGAACGGCCACTCCTTGCAATCGAAGCATAGAATAAGAAATGCGGAAGTGGAAACATGTAATATGAGACTTTTCCACCCCCCCTCTTGGGCTATCAATTTTCAATGGGTCACGTGACCAGCTCCAACCAGGGTCTTTGCTTCCCAAGAGCAAATAGCCTGGGAACGAGGTTGGGATTGAGATTGCTCCCTGCTGCCACGCAGTGAGTTAATTACACTATTTGCAAATGAGCAGCCCCTGAGATATATAGTCAGCCCATTAAGCTGCAATGAATCCTGGCTACTTTCTTATTTCACTCAATCTGTGAGATTAAATCCAGATGTTTTACTCAATACTCATCAAGGGAAGAGTCTTAAAAATAGATATCATTTTGCCATTGTTCAGAACTATATAAAACTATATAGTTTTACATGTACAGTATATGATGTCATAGTTACATGGCAAGAACAAAAATGTTGCCCACAAGCTGCCGGGACTTAAGTGATTCACTGATACACTAATCATGAGGTAAATTCGGCATGCCACAACATGTCTAACAAGGGCGGATTTTTATTTATTTCACCACTCAGTGAACTTTGGCATGGATTAGGTGTTTGAGTTGTTGGCCTTTCACACAAAATACATGTAGGAGGGTTGAAGCAGATTTTGGTGGGGTTGAACACTTTATTAGAGGGGTTTAACCCCCCCCCCCCCAAGTAAACCCGCCCCTAATTTCTAACATTGGGAGTAGTGATGTCCGATTGGCCATGGCACGGCCTGTGAGAAATTATGATGAAATTTGCTCTGAATAATAGTTAAGTTTGACATATTTTAGCAGTTAGTTAGGAATGTGATTGCATTCAGCTGAAACATGACACTTAATGTTGAAGCTTGGATCAATGGTCTTGGTAAAAACAGATCATGTAATTGCACTCTCCCCTTGACTACTAAAATTGTCTGGCATTAGATAGATTAAAATAATACAGTGAGGCATATCAAGAGACATTGCCACTTGTGAAGGGTTAACATGTGTATATGATATTTTATTTATTTATTTTATTTACCCCAAAACAGGAAGGGCGCACCCACAGAGCCGAAGCTCCAATAACAGGTTCCCCGCTATTTTTATGATGTAAAGATGTATAATGTATCATGATAATAATGTCATCTTTTATTTTGCAGAAATTATATGTTTAATATACACAAGAGATGGCACTGAGGCATCAACATGCAATACCATGCATAACAACATAAATAATTATATGATTATGATAACTTTATTGAAGTGTAAATAAATTTTATAGCAATTAAATTAAAATAAATTTATTACACGTTTTTGTTTTTCAAATTGTTTACTGCTAATAATTTTACAAAAAAGTCAAATACACCCTTCCGGATTGTATTTCACCTTGGCTATGCAGCCTCATTTGCATTATGTGGCATGAGTTAAAGTCCAATGTCTCAATTGTGAAAATGAGAATCTATAGCCAAGGTGACATAATTTCTGGAAGCATGTATTAAAATACAGTATGTTCAGTTTCCAAAGATATGTGTGGCTTGGTACTGTAACTTGCCACCCAGAAAGGAGTGTGTCATTGTGGAATAAATCTGCAATAAACAAGAGTAGATTAATTATCTAGGTTGTACAAAAATTCACCAGTAACATAATTAGCATATGATCAAGGTAAACAAAAGAATGTGACCTAACACAGACTCAGCTTAAACCAGGGGTATCAGAACTATAAGTGCACTTATATTTACTGAGAAAACTTGTAAGAAAACAGGCCATCCTCGAAATGAGGCCTTGGCATACACCTCAGCTAAACCTTGTTACCTCTGCTTAGGGAAAAGTGTGATTTATCTGAAGCCTCTATATTACTATTATTGACACAAAATAGAGAAATATCGGCACCAACCATGGAGAAAACTAGGTAGAAATACTAGAAACTACCTTCGCAGATCAGTTTCCAGCACCCTTAGCTATTAAAGTGGTACATATTACAAAACCTAATTCCATTTTCAGTATGAAAGATAGCACATCATCATAGTTTATGTCTGTTTATAAAACGAGACCTTAGGAGTCAACCTTTTAAGGCTTTTAAACAATTTTTAGACTGCAGGACAGTTCCTCGTATATGTGATTGTGTCGAATCACAGCTTGCTAAAATAGTGGGAAATTTTACACTTTACCATGTGTATTGCATAGGAAGTTGTTTTATTAACAAATAGAGTGTCAGTTTCATCGTTATGCTTATCAATTTCGTGTCAAATATAAAGGTAAAGTCTAAATATTAAAAAATTGAAATATGAAAATTTGTCTCTTACCTTTGTAAATCCTCGTCTTTTCCCACATTTCTTGAGGTTTTAAATTTGTTTGTCGTCTTTCACGAGCGAGAATAACACCTACAACTTGCATATCTTTGTTCTTTGTCCAAATAGTCAAAGGTAGAAAATTTATGTCGAAAAAATTTTAAAAACCGATTCAAAATCACGAGAACTATATTTTCTGCAAAACTTTTTTGCAAAAACCAGGGGGGTGTGAAAACGGCCGTGGGCTCAGAATTGAGCCTGGTCAGTGGTACCTACCATGAAAATAAAGTAAGTGTTGTCATGGAAATGGCGTCATTTTCACTCAAAATCCGCCATTTTTTTGGCTTCACTTCGTTGACTGAACGAAGTATAGGAGCAGGTCCTCCAGTTATTATACAGCTCAGTGGGTTTTACACACAGAGTATATGACGATATGGTAACTTTTTGTATAAAATTCCCTGTTTTCCCACCATGACAGTATACAAGAACTGCCAGGCGCTCCCCAGCACGCACCCTTCCCAACAGCCCCTTCGCGCGTCGGATGCCTACTTGAATACTTCATGTAAGCGCCTGGGTACGAGGCAGGACAATCCAGAAGACAGGGACTGGAAACGCCTAATGTTTTACGCGCGCCATCCGTGATGCGGCCAGCTGCAGATCTTGCGGGCTCATTTAAACAAAAATTCAACATTTTTCGAAACATTTCACAAAAGAATAAAACATTTCAAGAGTTGTTTATAGCTGTTCGATTATGAATAGATATATCTATGATTGGAAAGCATTTTACTCGAGAGATGGAACTCATGGAAGCAATTGATGTGGGATTATATACAGAAGGTAGTTTACAGTCCATTGTTTGGTCAAAATTTAAAGACAGACTATTTATTTTAGGTATGATTTAATATAGTATTTTATACCTTTCTGGCCTTTTCTAGATTGTTGCTTAGTTTTCGTTTCGTACTTTTAGCCTTTTTCATTACTTTAAACTGCTGCTTTTTCAATCTCGAAAAAAGACGAAAATCCTTTTTTGTATGGCATCTATCAGTAAAAAATTTTATTAAACAGTTCATTATTGACATTGGCGATTTTTAGCTTAAATATAAATATCAAATGACTGAAAGAAGTTTTGAAGACGATTAGTGCATATCCCTTTAAACTAGCTACAAGATAAAAAGTTTATGTACGGGGTTTCGAGTATAAGTCAATATCTGAGTATTGTTTTATAAATAAAAGCACATACTACGAGAACAACAATGCCAATGGCGGCATTTTTTGTCAAAAATACTACGCACGAAGTTAATGGTGATTTTCAGCTTTATTAAAGCAAAACGAACTTTGAAAAAGCAACAAATGCACAGCCCATTGTTTTCTGGTTCAAAATATATAAAAATGATGCTTTGAAAATCGCTTCAAGTGAAATTATAGGTTCCAACTAGGCACATACTACGAGAACAACCGAGAGAACAACAATGGCGACATTTTTTAGTCAAAAATACTACGCACGAAGTTAATGATGATTTTAAGCTTCATTAAAGCAAAAAGAACATTAAAAAAGCAACAAATGCACAGCCTATTGTTTTCTGGTTCAAAATATATAAAAATGATGCTTTGAAAATCGCTAAAAGTGAAGTTATAGGGTTCCTAGTAGGCACATACTACGAGAACAACAATGGCGACATTTTTTAGTAAAAAATACTACGCACGAAGTTAATGGTGATTTTAAG